ACGTTATATGCATGATCTCCTTTAACAATCATAACAATTCCAGAGGAAAATTATAATGCCCAGTTTAGCACTGAGCAGAGTAGGGTCCTGAAAGACCTATTAATGACTTTCCCAATGACACATAATCTTAGACAACAAGAGAGTTCCTGAGTCTTACTCAGTTCTTTTTCTATTGGAAAAGAAGGTAATCAGGGTTGCGCCAAAATTATAGCAAAACAACAAAACATCTTTTTTCCTAATAATGGAAATGAATCAACAGCCTAGGGCCTTTATGTTAGCTACTTTTGAAAGCTTAATTTGTTAATTAGATGCACTTTGATAATACAAGCTTTCCTAATGAGTCCATCAAATGTTGATAATCCATTTTGTTTATTTAAACAACCAAAATAATACCTTCAGTTATTTTACTGTGCAATCCCATGTTTTAGAGCAAATAGAAGCAGTAAAAGTCTATAGCAATAAATTTAGCCTGTAACCCAAAGTCCCACATGTATACACTATGTTTCGACTTGCCTTCTTGAAAGTAAACAGGGTTACTTTTCATTTCTACTTCTGGGTTCTCATTTGATCTTGACATCTCTTGCAGACCAGGCCCATTCTTCTGGAGGTAAGAGTGCAAGCTGATTCCATACATGATGAAATGGTGAGGACAGAAGGGAATCTTTAGTGGCTCCTGTGTGCAGGCATAGTGCTGGGTCACGACTTCAACATTCTTAGTCTTTCTTAGTCTTTATAGTTAGCCTTCAAGATAGTGTTATTTCCATTTGTACTTATGAGAACACTAAGATATAATAATTTTCCCAATAAGATAATCCTACTGACAAATTAGTAAAGCCAAAATTCTAAAAGAGATTCAAATTTTTTTCTCTAATACACTAATATTTCTTATTTCCCCAAGAGTATCTCAAATACAATAATACTGCCCAAATCTCACCTCTCTGATGGCTTTAGTATGGTATATATATTCTTAGTTGTAAGTCATTGAAACTGACTTTGGTCAATTCAATTTATTTCCAAGATTATTAGAAAATTCTAAGAATCTCTAGAAAGACTGCAGAGACATAGAAAAACAGCAGGACCAAGAATAGATACCCCCAAAACACAGCTCATTATGCCACAGAACTATTTCTAATCAGATATCATAGCCACCACCAACTATCAAGCACTTCTTGCCACAGCATGCACCATCACCACTTGCATGTTGCCTTTGGAAACTCAGGTGGCTGTCTCTTCCACTGAAGCCTTCCACCTACATGGGTTCTTCAGTGACGCTGTTTCTCTGTCTGGTATTTCCTAATTCAAAGTTGCAGTGAGGCATGAAGTCTGACAGGGAGAGACCATGCTATATACCCACACTTTGGCCATCAGAAGTACTGGAATATCCAGTCTGTGATAACTGGGAGCTTCTTTCATTATAGATCAATTGCCACTGCCTTTTACCCAACTCAAAACTGCTGATCACTATCAGCTCTACCATGGTGGCTAACAAAGTTCAAATAAATATTTTCGCTTCTGTTTCTCATTCTTTTGGCTTAGGAATTTATATGCTCTCTTTAAATGCAGATAGAAACAGCTAAAGAGGAAAACATATTTCTATCATTAGACTAACTCCTTAGATTCTTCTGCTTTATAAGACTATCCCAAGTAAAAGTCAAACTTCTAAAGATGGAGTATAGGGGAAAAAAAATCATTCTGATCCAAGTTCAAGTTTAAGAAAAAAAAAAGTGCTGGGCAAGAAGATTTCAAAGAGGAAGAAACAACTCTTTTCATCATTGTTCAATTGTCTATTCTGCAAACATGAGAAGTATTATTAGGAAAAGTGACTGAAATAGAAAAAAAAAAAGCAATGTAAGAGGAAGGTTCCTTAAATGAGAAATGTATTCATTTAGCTTTGATTCAACACTTTTGAGCGCCTATACCATCAGGTACAGGGCTAGGTACTTGGGATTCAAGAAATTATAAAATCATTCCCTTTTTTCATAATGTTTTCTCTCTTCATATATGGGGTACTCAGAAGTTCACAGACAGTTCTTTGTCAGGAGCTAATTCCCAGGAAACCAAACTTGCTCATTTCCTTCTAAAATATCTACATGGCATGAAATGAAAGTAGATTGCGTTGGTTCAGTCAGTGTTTAATTTTCTGAAATCATAATTTGAGCCATACATTCTATTCCATTCAAATGATTGCTGTCTGGGGATCCTCACAGCAGCCTTGAGTTAGAAATACTGAGATCCTTCCCTGGCTGTCACTGCCTTGTTTAAGTGACCCCAAGCACAAGAGTTAAACATCTCTGGGACTCCATTTTTTCATCTCTAAAAGAAGGATAAAAATACCAGCCACCTGTTGTGAAGATCAGGGAGCTAATGTGTCTCCGAAGCTTTAAAATCTCTGGCTCTAAGCCTTTTGCTATCAACGTATTAAGAACAAAGACAAGTCTTTATTGCTTTCGCCCAAATGCTGCATTCAAAGGAATAAAGAAAAAAAAAAAGAAAAGAAAAAAAAAAAAAAACACAATATTTGAGTTCCACAAGGCTTGAAGGTTATTTTGTATTAGTTTGAATTTCAAACTGTTTTTCTCTGTTGTACTCTTGGCACTGCCATTTTTTAAGTACAGCACTTCATTTGCATAGTAATTACAAAGTTTAACAAATAGCATTAATGTCTGAAAGAAAGAGGTACACTCCATTTAAATTACTGACAGTATTACATTACACATTTTTAACTGCAATTTAAAAAAAAAAAAAAGGAAAGCTATTCCATCCTAATGTGCCGTACAGATTCCCAGAGCTCAGCAATATTTGTGCTTTAAGAAGGTAAAGTCTCTTCCTGTGCTCTTTAGTGATTTCTAAAACCCTATTCATAAATACTGATTAGGCACTATTTCACCATAGGACAGAGCCCTGTTGGCACAACTCCCTACTCAGAGCCAAATTGGAAATGTTAGTACAGTAAATTAGGCCAAATGTCCTAGCTGTACTGTACATGAAAGATCATCTTTAATAAATAGATGCTAATGTAGCACTTGGATCACTTATAGCTGTAAATGTCAACCTTTGGTCCTGATTCCAGGAAGTTAAAAAAATTCAGGAAATGTGTGTTAGTTCAATGCAAAAAAGAAGAATAAAGAGCAAATATGAAAAAAAAATGGCATTTGTTTCTTGAAAAAGTGTTGATTACCTGGATTAGTAGCAGGTGAGGGAAGGAAAGAAAGAAAAGAGAGAAGGTCTTTGATTTTTATCACTTACACCCATGTAGTATTTGTATGATTTTGGATTTTGTCTAGCTCTATTCCTTTGTGCACCTTATCCTATATATGTTTTTTACCTAATTTTTCATTCTCCTCAATTATTTGTTCATAACACCCTTTGAACAAAACTAAATCTACTAGAAATAAATCATCCTTGGTTAATTATTACTTATATGCCATCCTATCACTCCTCACTCACATACTTTTTTACCAAAACAAAATAACACGCGCACACACACACAGAATTCATGGGCAAAATGAAAATTAAAATAATACAGTTTAGATATGAAACTCCATTCATATGTACATTTTTTTATGTTTTTGTTTTTCAGCTCAATTTTTTAAAAATAAAAAAAAAATTAGGTTCAAAAGTCAGGTCAGGTAGGCAATTATATTAACCTTCACTTTGGTCTAAGGGCAACACAGCCCAATTTCAATTATAAAACTTATCTTTGGAGAATCTGGAAATTTAAAAAGACACTATACACAAATTATATGACATAAGTATTATATAAGAACTTTGGTCTATCTTGATAGCTTGTCCAAACTTCTTAAAGCATCTCTTCATCACCCAGGAAGTTTGACTGCTTTGGTTTTCTAACATGGCACAGTGGAACCCAGTCACTGAGAAATTTCATATTCCTGACTCCCAGCAAAATGGACATCTACGTACACTTCAATTTTCCGAAGCTCAGCCTTTTCTGTAAAAGGGTAATGAGAATTGACTCAGGGATTCCTTGTGAAGGAATTGTATGTAAAAGACTCAGTACAATGCTTGGTGGACAGAGGAAGCCCGATAAATAGATACTAATATAAATTAGGTACAAATACAATGATACCAGTATATCCTGCAGATATCGAACAGGTTCTTGTTCCCCAGTGTTGAAGATTAAATACCTGAGAGACACTGAGGTAAGGGTAGAGAGCAAGTTTCATTTAAGAAAGTGATAGAGACAGACTTCTCTGAAGAGGAGGGGATTTCAGAGCCAAAAGTGCATGGCAGGATTTACGACTTGCTTTTTTAGAGACCCCCAGAACCTCCCTTTTTAATTATTGTCTTGTCTTTCTTCCCCATATATAGGACTGAGAAGGAAGGAATAGAACATGGAGGTTAATTGTTAACAACCAGAGTGACAAGGAACAGGACAAGCCACCCATTGTTCTCTCTCTATGATAACCAGTCTGATAACCAGTTATCATCTTCTCTTTACCCCCATCATTCATTACCTACACTGTCTGTCAGAACTTTGCCCTGGCCTTTTTGCTGAGTAATGTGAAATATCCTGTCCACTTAGGCAGAACTGCAGGCAAATTGTCTTTTGGAAAAAAAAAAAAAAAACACCTTATGGGGGTCAGTACAGTGGGCCAATTCTATAAAATCATTCTCTTAACCTCTTGTTAAGAGGTTCCCACCATTCTCAATCTATCACTAACATCGCCATCTCCAAACTCATGGAATTGTTGGGATACTAAATATTTTATTCACAGGTTTAGGCTGAAATGCTAAGCTCCTTTTTGATGATTGATCACTGTTTTAATGAAAACTTATGACCTGTTTCTTGTTGTATCTTTAGTATAGAATTTTCTCCAAGCATGACAGAAGTTTTGTGAGATTTTTGTTTTTTTTTTTTTTTTTTGTGCTGTCATTGTCCTACACTGTGCAAACTTCAGGACTGTATTGCCTATATTATAAACTATATTTTCTAAAATTTCAAAAATACTGTAGTAGTATTTTCCATTGTGAAAGTTATGATATTGTCATTCTAAACAAAATAATTTATATTATAATTTCATCCTTAGTGTAAAAAAAAATTACATAGTGACCAATGACTTCTCTAGGTGGATTGAGACAAGAACTCTAAAGAAGTGCACAGACAGGGGGATTTGGTATTATCTTGAGCTGTGGGCTCAGGTAAGTCAAGGTGGCAACAACCATGTAACCATGTAGACTTGGAGACTGTGAAACATGTTTGGATAGTGTGCATCTGAATTTTTATATAATAGTTTAAAAACAAATAATTTAACTATACAGGGGAATTGGATCTTGAAGTTTGTGAGGCAATGTTCAGGATAGAATAGATTTTTTGTGAGAGATTCAAAGATTTGGTGCTATAAAAGAATTCACAATGATGTTGCAGTAAGTAGAGGTACTGCTCAGAGTTCATGCAAGCATGGAGGGGAAGATAGAACTTCCAAATAATCTCATTATTTAATTTTCTACAATGGGACTGGAGTAAAATATAAAATTTAATAGGTAAACATTAATTTGGAGATGGGATGTAATGGGTTCTAATAAAAAATAATCAGAAAAAGCTGACAGCATTAAAATAGTCTATGCTAGTATCAAAAGAGTAATATCTAGAAGTATTTATAAGGAAATTGGAGATTATTTTGAAAGGTGATGCTATACAATATCAATATTCTTTGTTTTATAAATTGTTCCAGGCCCTTACATTGACTATTTACAAATTTTTGAGAGCAAACAGCATTCCATTGGCATTTATCCAGGAAATGGGACTGAATATCTCCATATGCTTAGTGAGTACTGTTGATGGCTTAATTAATGTTGATTGTTTCAACATTCATCATTGTTACTTTCTCTTATGAATACCAATTCTTTCAGGTTTTTATGTCATCTTTACCAATAGGAAAATATTTCTCAGATTATGGGATTCCCATTGGACCAGGGATAGAATTATGATTCAAGTTTGTCAATCAAAGTAAGTGTGTATGTATTTTCTATTGTAGGTGTGGGATGTATATTTTTCTGTTTCTAAGTTTATTTTTCCATCTATAAGCATATCCTAGAGAACAAGGACAAAGAGTCATATTAATCAAATGTCATTGGCAAGTGTGTTGCAACTGTCAGGTGAAATCAACTTCACTATAAAACTATTCCTTGTATAAGCAAGAGGTATACAGATGGAAAATACCTGAGTCTTGAATGACATCACTTAGCTGAGGAATATTATACATCTGGAAACTACCAGCCAAAAGCCATGGCAAGGTTAACAACTTGCTTACTTTTTATTGTTTAAGTCTTTTTGTTGTTTAAATCAATCTGTATCTATGTTTTCTGTCATTTATATGAAAATATTTTAACTCATACACTTACTTTCTACTATGTCTTGCAGATATTCAGAAAAATACAAATTCTACTCCTAAGGAGCTTATAATAAATAACAGATACATGCCTAATTATATATAAAGTGTATATTATAGGACATTATATATGCACATACATACATATACATATATAACATCTAATGACATAAAGATATATACATAATTAGAAAATAATGGGAAAATATTAATAAAGATGTTTACCACCTGCAAACGGCCAACATTCCCCTATCATTGTTCCCACACAAGGGAAAACATAGAAGAAAGTACTAGGTAACATGAATTTAGACTACTTTTTGTCCAATTTCAGACATGAACTTCACGTTCAGTGGCTTGGACAAATAATAGCACAGTGAATACAAAAACATGATCTCCCCCATTAATATTACTTCCCTCATACTCAGAGCCTGAATAGGAGCTGTACTGTGGAATACAGTAAGAACCCCATTAAAATTGTATGGGATTTTAAACTTCATTTAAATTTCATTAAAATTGTATATGATTTTAAATTTCATTTAAATTTCATGCCCTTGCAAAGAAATACATAACAATTTTTATAGAAACACTGTGTTTATGTATTTTTGGTAAGAAAATATACAGCCATGGAAGTCTGCATAGGGTAATCACTTGGTATTCACAGCAAGAACTCATAAATATAGAAAAAAAATAGTTAATATTAATGCATATTTGTTGAATACTTATTGGGCAGGTACTTTTCTAGACTCTGAAGAAGCAGTACTGAACAAAAGAGACAAAAAATCCTTTGCATGATGAGACATGAAATAGAGCTGAGGGTCAGGGCATAAAACAAGTAAATGATATGGTGTTATGACGTGACAGATGCTGGGAAATATAAAGAAGAGAAGTGAAATAAGGAGAGCCTGAGTTGATTCAGGGAAAGGAGATCTAATTTTCAATAAGTCCCCTCCCCACCCCGACAATTTGTACTTTGAAGGTGACACAGGAGAAAAAATATCTAAGAAAGAACGTTCTAGGCCAATGAACTGGCAGTGTTATGCCCCTGAAGTTGGAGCACACCCGACACATTCAAAAGATGAAAAAGAGCATGTGGAACAGGATAACCAAGAGATCTGAAGAGGCTGTAAAGGAGTCCTCAGTCAGATTAAGCTTCAGGTAAGGGCCTTTGTGAGAGCTGCAACTTTTACTCTAAGATGTGAGGCCACTGGAGGCTTTGAGCTGAACAGTGACCATATCTCAGTTAAGTTTCAAAAGGATGATCTTGCCAAGGGTTAAGAATAGAAATAAATAAAGAACCTAGTATGTTTAGGAAGCAAATAATTCTAGTGGCTAAAGAGTAAGGTAGAGGGCACTGCAGTGTGTGCTATTCAGGCAGAGGAGATGAGTGCTAAATTCTATGGACCTTGTATCTTTTTGGACAGTTCTGCCAATGAAAGGTTTTTAGCACAATAACATCGGATAACATTTAGAGTTCAGAGAACATGCTCAATAGCATCATTTCCCTCTCTTAGAAACAAAAGTATGGTAAAGAAAATAGTTAACAGACTCTCGTTTTTTATCTTTTGGTTTAGCTGCAAGTAAAACAACATAACAGTAATTTAAATAATAGAAAATCTAAGCATTTTCTAGTTAGGAGTTATCAATATGGTTCTTTAATCATCAAGGACTTGGTCTTTTTCTGTATTGTTTTACTATACTCAACTGTGGGCATTTCTGTTAGAATTCAAGATGGTTGTTCCATTCCTATCTTTTACATCTCTATTCTATACCACAGAAAGGAAGAAAGAAAATGATAAAAAAAAAAACATGTTATGTCCTTTTTAAAAATACATACAAAATTCAATAAAACCATTTCATACCATTACATCCTTTTGGCTAAGAATTTGGTTTCAAAATTTGGTTTCATTTAGCTGTCAAAGAGGTCAGGGAATACAACTTTTATTCTGTGAAGCCATACACCCAGATATAATCCACAATGTCTATTGCTGAGAGAGAAAGGAAAAATACATATGAGGGGAAAATGTATGATCCTGAAGCAGTCCACTGCAATAGCTCAGTTTCTGAGTGCCTAACTTCAGGAGAGGACTCTGCAGGTGGAGAATGGCAGTAGAAATACAGACATGTTTAAATAGGAAATTAACCGGACTTGGTGAACTACTGAATCTGTGAGATGATAAAGAGCCATCTCATTTCTAAGATATTTCTGACTTAGAAGATGGCTTTATGTCATTGAAACAATGTCTTATTCCATTTAAGGCTGCTGTAACAAAATATCATAAACGAGGTGGTTTATAAACAATAAAAATTTATTTCTCACAGGTTTGGAGGCTTGGAAGTCTAATATCATGACACTGGCACAGTTGGTATCTATTGGGGGTACAATATCTTGTTGATTGTCAACCTCTTGCTCTAACCACATATGGTAGAATGGGAACACGGGAGCCGGGCTGCCTTTTAATGCCACTAAACTCACTCATGGGGTACTACTCTAGTGACCTAATCATCTCCCAGGATTCTTGGGGGTACAGATTTCACATATGAATTTTGGAGGGACAAAAATATTCCATCCACAAGTAGAGATTCCTGGAGAAGAAACTGATATGTAAAAATTATGTTTGGATTCAAACATAATAAAATATAACTTATAATTTATTTAAAATGCTTCATGAACATTGATACGCAGCAGGAATTGTTATTTTTACATTATATTTATCTTTCAAAAACAGATGTAAATCAAAAACAGATGTAAACCATACATTCTTTAAACTATAAAAATACTGTTTGAGTATTGAATTCATTTTTCTCTTGACCTTGGAAATTGGCATAGGAAATACATTTAATTTACTAACTGATATCTGTTATTTTATTCCTGACCCTTCTATAATTTACTAGCATCCGAGCAAAAGTTACTCATTATTCAAACCAGCTTTATTTTATTTTGGAGAATAATTTCGAAAAATGCAAATAAAATTCCTTAAAGTCTGACCATTTCTCTATCATATCTCCTATGGTAATTGTCTATTCAGGAAGACTATATCTAGAAATAAGAGTGTTCCTGATATCAGTACAAAAGCAACAGCAATCAGATGTGTAATAGCATTTCTGCCATCCTGTTAACAGAGACACTTGAAATATAAATGCCTATTATAAGTTAGGGTATCACCCCTGTAAGTACAAATAAGAAATGTACAAACTGGTGCCCATACCGCTCTGCACCTGCTCTGTACCTGCCTTTTATCTTTTCCTGTTGCCGCATTTTCAGAGGCTCCATCCTGTAAACCCAGCAAATTCCAGAAGAGAAACTTTGAGAAATACAAAAATGGCAACTTAACATTATGTTAAGTGCAATAAGCCAGGCACTGAAAGAAAAATACCATATAATCTCACTTATATATTGAATATGAAAAACTCCAAATTATGGAAAGAGTAGAATATTGTTTACTAGGAGCTACAGGTCAAGGAGAAAGATTGGGGACATATTATACAAAGGGTAAAAAAATTCAGTTAGACAAGAGAAATAAGTTCAAGATATCTACTGTTCAACATAGTCACTGTTGTTGTAATACAGATCTTAAATGCTACCCAAAGTCTTCTATGTCGAAGGCTTGATCCCCAGGTAATGGTGCTATTAGAAGATGGTGAATTTTCAGGAAGTAAGGTCTTTGGTAGAACAAGCTTGAAGGAGATATTGGGACCCTTGTCCTTTCTTTCTTTTTTTTAACCTCCTGACCATAATTAGGTGAGCAGTTTCCTTCCCTACATGTTTCTGTCATGTTGTACTGTTAGGGTCTGTAAACAAGTCAAGATGGCACCTAGCACTTTGCCAGAGAGAGTGGTTTGTGAAGTAAAGCCAGCAAGCCATTAGGATGATGGAGATTCCTTAATGACTGACTGCTGTATCTAGTTTATGTTAATTGAGTTAAACTGTGTGTAATTAAGATGATGAGGATTTCTTGATGGCTGATTGATATATCTGGATGATGTTAATAGAAACAAGCTGTGTATAATGAGTTAGGTATAAATACCTCTACTGTTCTACAATAAAGTGGCTCCCACTGTATCAACCTTCACAAGTTCCTTGTCACTGGCCCCGGGGTTATTTCACCCAGCCAGACTGTGGCATTGTACTGACTCAAGAAAGGCCCAAAGACAATAAATATAAGTGACCATGATCTGAAACTGTGAGTCAAAATAAATCTTTCCTCCGTTAAGCTGATTTTCTCAGGTATTTTGTAATAGCAATGGAAAGCTAGCATAATCATATCCTTCAAAATTACTAAGAGAGTAGATTTTAGGTGTTCTCATCATTAAAAGAAAAAAAGTATGTTTTAGCCTTGATTCCACCATTCCACCATGCATCAAATATCAAAATACCATATTGCATGCCATAAATATATACAATTTTAGTTATTTAAAAATGAATTTTGTTTCCAGTAGAAAAATTTTAAAATAAAGTTTGTTTCCAATATATAATTTTTAAATAAAAAATATAAAAATAAGGATCCAAATCAAAATAGTTAGAAATGAAATGGCCAGGCTTCAAAAATAAAAATTCCTTTTGACCTTAAAATTAAGGTTGGAAGATAGTAGGGATCTAGATGAAAAGTTGTTTTGCATA